CTCTACCAAGATGTGAGTGATAGGCTAGGCTCCAAAAGGAAAGGAAATTATTTCAATGAACTAAAATCCTTTCTTTCTTGGCGGGACATTGTGTTGTATCTTGTACCCTGAAGTCAGCAGAAAACAGTATCACCTATTATATCCAAGTCAACTCATGCCTTGGAATCAGAAGCAACTCATAGCTGATCCTCCATTGGGATTCCAAGGCTGTAAAGAACATGAGAGGAGATGGCCCATCTTTCTCGCTGAGCTTCTGGTGGATTTGAACTGGTAGAGAAGCACGGTCCATGGCTTAGCGGTGAAGTTCCATATGGACTGTAGCACCAGGGTTTATACAAAACACAAAGTGTTAAAAATAGCCTTTGTTCATCTCCATGTGCTGACACCTTTAGGTTGTGTTCAAAAGTGAGGCATCCTGAAAACAACTCTATATTTCATTTCAGACAGCACCAAAGCTTAAATAAGCATTTTAAATGGGGGAATTTGTTGTTCTATAAAAACATAACCATGATCATTTTAGTATTCTTTATATTTTGAATTTCACTTGAAAAAGTATCAACTTTCAGATTTTTTTATTTTATAACTTTTAAGTATTCTTTCTAAATCTTGAGGGTTTTTTCTTTCTAGTGACTAGTTTTGTCCTAAAATATATATCACTATTATACTATTTTTATGTTTGTGAAACAATAAAATGCTGAACAATAGAATACTAAAGCACACATATTTTAAATATTTAAAAGGCATTGAAGGTCTTCAGAATCATACATTAAATACCTATGTGAAAACAATAAAGGTGAAGAAAGAACCTTAAAAAATTACAAAATTAAACTTAAATCCTGTAAGCAATTATTTAAAATCTTAAATGAGATTTTTCTTTATGTGATGTCCTTGCACATATTACTGATGTGCTGAGAAGGGGCAGAAGTATATCTATGGGAAATAGCACCACAACTATTAATTTTCCATTGTTGGATCATCTCTCCCAGCTAGCCATGGAAACTGGAATGGTGACTGAAAAATGCTCCTTGATTTCCCACCGAGTGATTCTGAATACACCTCTACACAGTAGTTAAGTGCTCACCTGCACACTGAAAAGTTGAGGTTTGAACCCACCAGTTGTCCTGCAGGGAAAAGATGAGACAGTCTGCATCCCTAAAAATCACAGCCTTGGAATTCATAGGTTGGTCCTACTCTGTCCTCCACTGTGAGTTAGCATCAACTTGATAATTGTTGTTGTTGTTATGTGCCCTCGAGTCGTTTCCGACTCATAGCGACCCTATGCACAACAGCCCTAAACCCTGCTCTATCCTGCGCCAACCGCACCGCCTCTGACACACCCATCCCGATTACCCCAGTCACCGAATCAATCCATCTCATAGAGGGTCTTCCCCTCCTGCACTGTCCCTCCATCCTCCCAAGCATGATGTCCCTCTCCAAGGACCCGTCCCTCCTGGCAACATGTCCAAAGTATGTCAGACGAAGCCCCAGAATCCTTGCCTCCAAGGAGTAGCTTGGTTTAATCCTCTCCAAGATGAATCTGTTTGTTTTCCTGGCAGTCCATGGTAATAGCAGCTGTTAATGTGGTTATGTACTGTCCCAAATCAGTATTTTGTAGAATGCGATTTTATACCCATAGCTTTTAAGAACTGGAATAAATCCTAAATATTATCTAGCTTTTCTTGTCCCTGCTGAAGAATAATCACTTTAACACTGAAAGCATTCTCCTTTAGGAAAGGGATTATAACCCCATTCTGTGGCTACAGAGGAGAAATGGCTAAGGGACCAGTGGGCAGAATTGCAAGAAGGCTGTGTCAGCCCTTTATAAAGAACTTCTTAATCAGATGGGCTATTCTGAAAATGAGACGAGCTTCTTCATGGAAATGAATAGTTTTTGTTCTGGAGAGTTATTTATTAATATGTTGTAAGAGTAATCAAAACTCAACTCATTGTCAACAATTCCATTCTGACTCATACCAAGTTTCCCAGGCCTAAGTTTTAAAGAGAGGGACTGCTTCTCTTTCTTCCAGGGTGCTTCTGATACATTCGAAATGCTGACCTATCATTAAGCAGTGCAACACACTGTGGACTATACCACCAGAACCAAAAAAAATGACAACTGTTATTAATTAATTGAACTCCTCAAATGTTCTTGATATAGTGCTGGCTTTATTTATGTGCTTTTCCTTGTTTTAATCTTCACAACAACCCTTACTTATAGAATATATTATCACTGATTTGCTGGTGAGAATTCTTAGATATAAAGAGGTTTAGTAACATGCCCATGGTCAGACAGCTAATTAGATAGCAAACTTGGAAATTCCTACCTTCTTTTGAGTTGTGACTCTTCTTGTAGTATAGGACTTGGTAAAAGAATATTCCCAGAAAAACAATGGTAAAAGTTGTTGTTGTTGTTATGTGCCATCAACTCACTTGCAACTCATAGCAGCCCTATGTATAACAGCCCTAATGTCCGCTCTGTCCTGTACCAGCTGCACTGTCTCTGATATACCCATCCCCATTATGCCAGTCACTGAATCAGTCCACCTCATAGAGGGCCTTTCTCTCCTGCGCTGTTCCTCCACCCTCTCAAGCATGATGGCTCTCTCCAAGGACTTGTCTCTCCTTACAACATGTCCAAAGTATGTCAGACGAAGTCACAGAATCCTTGCCTCCAAGAAGCCGCCTGGTTTAACTCTCTCCAGGATGAACGTGTTTGTTTTCTTAGCAGTCCATGGTATATTCAATACACATCAATTCTTCTATCCTCCCTAGTCATTGCCCAACTCTCTGACACATAACAAGAGATAGCAAAGACCATGGCCTGTATCAGATGCACCTTTGTCTCCAGAGACACCATTGCTCTTCAGTACTTTGGAAAGGTTCCTAACATCAGACTTTCCCATTGCAGTACATCTTTTAATTTCCTGGCTGCTGAATATAAGTGATTTCATGCAACTGATCCACTTACACAACATCAAACTGCTCAGCATGAAAGATCAGAAAGACTGATTTGTCTTCTGCAAATTCTTACTTTTTAAAAAGCCCTTTTGGTTGTTATATTTGTCATGTGATAAATACGTATTTTAATAAATATTTTAAGTGAAAAGAACTTAAAAACTCATTGCTGTTGAGTCTGAACCAACTCATAGCTGACCCTTCATCTGATTTTTGGAAGCTGTAATTCACACAAGGTGAGAGAGCCCATCTTTCTTCCCTGAGAAGTGAACATATGTTGTTGTTATTGTTGCTGTGTATCATCAAGTCAGATCTGACTCATAGTTGACCCTCCAGCTGGTTTTCAGAGACAGTGAATCACATGTGAGGAGATTGCCCATCTTTTCCCTATGGAGCAGCAGTGGATTCAAACCATGTGACTTTAGATTGGCAGCACAAATCCTTCCCACCAGGCTACTGAGCTCCAAATATAGTCAGTGTTTATGATGGTAATTGAAGAACTGCACAACAGAAATGAACGTTAATGCTACGGTGACTAACAGCCGAGAATCACTTGTGCCTCTCCTAATTAGCTGTATAATACCAGCTATGAGTCACAGGTGACTTGACGGCACATCACAACACAAAAAATACCAGTTATATCACTTGATGTTGTGTCATACTTTATCAATAAAAAGAGATTGTCAATAACAGACAAAATATTGTCTTACTTTCAGTGTTGTTTTCATGTTTGAATTGGTGGATTTGAAAATGTTTTGAAAACTAGAAAACACTATATAAATATGACCAGGTAGAATTGCTTTAGTTCTTCCATGCTGCATGATTCCTTGTACAGAGGCACAGTCTTCCACTGCCCGATTCTTGGAATGTTGTGATTCTGGAGCAATTATCTTGGTCCTATTTCTAGACTCCAGGGACAGGCTGGTGTTTTTCTGCTTCCACCGGAATCTTCCAGCTGGGGATGGGTTCCCTGGTTAACTACAGATCCAGAAGGCAGGTCAGGCCACTACCTACGTTTCTTCACCGCCTGCTAAGCAAGCTTTTTCTTTTTCTTTTTCTACACTAACATTCATTGAGACATTACCAGCAAAAATTCAGAACCACAAGTTAATTTTCCAAAACATGCATAGTTTCTTGAACCATTTTATCGAATTGCAGATTTCATTTCCTATCCTGAGTTCCCATTTTTTCCATTTGTTTTTATGTGTTCACTCTCAGTTACTCTCTTTCATTCATTCCTCAAACATTTATTGAGGCTCTACTATATATGTTCCAGGCACTGGCAAGAAAATGGGTAAGGTACTGTTCTTGTAGGTCAATTGAAAATGATGGGTGTACCTGGAATTTAGTAAGCTCTCAGTAGATGTTAGTGTTTTCCTATTGAGGACTGCACGTTGCTCGATTAACATACCTAAGTATGTTACCTAATGCATATTTGACTTTTGTAAAGTGTTCACAAGAGTTGTTTAGGTGCTATATATGCATAGAACAAAGTTTAGATATGTGAATATCACATTTATCAGAATAGGTAACAATTCTGATTTATTTTGTTTTTTGTTATTCTGTTTCATTTTTGCTTTACACCCAACTTTGTAGTCTCATTACAGTCAAGTCAGAACAGTCTCATAGAAAACCCTCCAGCAGGTTTTTAGAGGCTGTAAATTACATGGAGGAGATTTCCTGTCTTCCTTTCCATGGTAGATTTGAACTGCCAGAGAGACACTGCCTCTGGGTTAGCAGTTCACCTCCCTATGGCCTAAGCCACCAACGTTCCTCATTCAACCCATAAAATTATTTCAGCCTTTCTCCTTTCTTCCTTCCTTGTCCCATTCTTCACCAAAACATTTCATAAAATTGCATTGAGAAGCATGAGAGATAGAACAAAAGTCACCAAAAATTCATCTCACTCCTGAGCCCTATAATCTCAATAGGCAATATTATTAGAGTGTATAATTGTTTTTATAACATACTAGTTTGAAGTCTTCTCCTCTTACTGTCTTTCCTCTCCTTGACATCAATATAATTTTTTTTTTCACTTTTTATAGGCTGCCAGTGAAATGAAACAACAAAGATATTCAAAGAAAGGCCTCTTTAGTTCAATACCTTCTACACAAACACCATCGTTGATTTCAGCAGATGAAGACACCACAGGCTTGGGTATGTATGGTTCTTTATATCTACAAATGGAATTGGCTTAACAACCCTTACAGGAGGTAAAGGTCATGGTACCCTGAAAAGAGCTTGGGGTTGGGAGTCGTAAAGCCTGGTGTTGCATCCGTACTGCGTTCCCTCCTTAGATTTGAGACTTGAGCAGGTCTCTTGAATTTCTGCTCTATTTTTCCTTCTGCAGCCATTGAGATAATATTCCTTATCTCTCGTCAAATATAAAATCACTGAACACAATAATCCCTCAGCAAATGCTATTTAATTCTGAGACAGACAGCATAATATTCTGTAATTTCTTAAATATTTTGTCTCATTTTTGAGTAATATCTCTTAAACATAGAATTGAACCAAATTTTTAGTTTTGCATATGTTGGTACAACCCAGTCAAAGACTGTTCATTTCACTGCCTAAGAAATTGGTATTCACTTTTTGTCTTGCAATTTTTGACTTGAATTATGCTGATTAGGAGTTGAAAATAGAACTCTGAAATGAATAATGGATATTTTCACTTGGCTTTTATGCAGTACAAGTTAGTGAAAAATAGGCTATGAAAACCCTATGCTTATCAGTGACAAAACAGAGTTTTAATTTAACAAGTTTTAAATCTTTAAAGTGCCTACAGTTTATACATTTTTAATAAATATTAATCATTAATATTAATTCATCCTTGCCTCCACTTTTACTTTCAATTAATAGGAGCTGTGTAATGTGAAACACACATTCTTTAGAAAGATAGGTAAACAAACTAAACTTACAATTCAATATTTTACTCCTAATATTGAATATTTTATTGTTACTAAATTTTGTGTTTCTAAATTTTTACTCTTAGCTGGGAATCAATTAGATTAATAAATTCTACTGTGAAAAATTAATGCCTTAAAATGTCAGGTGCTGGGCTGACAACCTCACACACACATTATTCATTTAACTATTCTAACAGGCTATTGGATAGGTTAGTGGTTACAAGGATTTATTTTTATTTTTTCTTAAATAAATGAGCCTTGGAGTTCTGGTGGCCCAGTGGCAAGAAGCTGCACTGCAATCCCAGAGTCATGCAGTTCAAGTCCACCAGATGCTGTGCTGGAGGAGGGGACATCGCCTCCTGTACTAGTCATATCCGATTTGACGGTACAACACACAAAAAATAATTTAAAGAAGAATAAAATGAGAAACCAAAACAAAACAAATGAGCCTCAGTTTCATCCACCTGTCAGTTTTAGTGGGGAACTCAAGTCAATATCCTCTACACTCAAAACTGATAACATTTTGTCAAGAAATTTATAACTAATGTCTAATCAGAGCACAACCCCTCACAGGATTAGGGTTATTAGAACCTGTCTCCTTTTTTGACACACTAAACCCACTGTCATTGAGCCAATTCTCATGCCAATAGTTTCTGAGGCTGTAAATCTATAGAAGAAGACTGTGCGTCTTTTTGTCAGGAAGCAGCTGGTGGATACGAACCCTTGCACTTTTGGTTTGCAGTCTTACTTATATTGCCATAAGATCAAGATTCAAAATATTTCAGGATTGTGGCCAACATAATCTGCAACCAGTTCTGTCAAAGCAGCTACACCATGTTTCAGTGTCATTTTATTTGTGGACATTGAAATGTGAATGTTACAGATTTTTGCTTTTTTTATTTGTTTTGTTTCTTTCTCCCTTTAAAATACAACCATCTAAGACCCAAGTTTTTGTAGTCTTCTGACCTCTGATTGTATATATATTTAATGAGCTTTATAAATCTGTATGTTAGATGAAGCTGATTCGTAATGGGGGCCCTCTTTTAATAACTCTTTACTGATTTATATTACAATGTATGAGTGAATATTCATGATGTTAACCCATTACTTGTCTCTGAAGGCTCTACTGCATGTAAGATTTCCACAGAACTGTTGAACCCTCCGGAATTTGTATTTTCATGAGTTTCCATCATCAGGAAAATGCACATTTTATATAGAGTTTCTGCAACTATTAACTGAAAGGCTGCTAGTTCAAACCGACCCAGTAGCTCCAAGAGAGAAAGATTTGTTTATCTGCTTTCATAAACCTCAAGCCAAGAAAATGTCCGAGGACAGGTCTTTGTCCCATGGCTTGACTAGCTGTGAGAATCAAATCAGTAATACCCAATAACAGCAATGTTTGATTCTGGATAAATGGATCTGAATAAACATTTTTTTCCTAGGGTTTTTTTTTTCCTTTTATTTATATAGTTTTAAAAAAAATACCAGTTAAAAACAATTTTTTAAAAAAGAAACTTTTACTAGTAAGGATTTAACAAGATTTTCAGTTACCAAAACAGCAATTAATTCTTGAGTCACTGTTTTTAATTATTCTTTTACCATACGTATATTTGGAAATAATTTTAAAGGACAGTTATTTTTATTTCTTTATTAGTTAAATTGTTTATACATCCTAGTTTAAAAATAAAATGCTGTAACTGAAAATACTTAGACATTTCTTGATTAGTATACTCCAACTCAGTCTTTTGTCTTACCAGGCTTTATGCTCATTATATAACTATACGTACCTAATAATTTCATTGTCTTTAATTTTTCACACCAGTTTTTACGGTGTATTTTGAGATTTTTAAGAACTCAAAGTTTAACATTTATAGAATCTCAGGATTACTGATTTTGGATGGGAGGTTAGGGGATAGTTATTTTTTAATCTCACAAGTGTTGAAGGAAGATTATGTTTCGTTTCTGGGTCAGTGGACATCCGTGACCCAGATTTTTCCATCACGGTGTTTGACAGAAAATCACGTGAAGTGGTACTGCCAGCAAACACTGCAGGCCCCAGGTAATGGAGTGTGCAGAAGCTGAGGTGTATGTCCTTGACTCTCGTCCTTACCAACTATGCCGTTCATTCCTTCTCCAGATGATTTCCAGGCTCCTCTGTCAGTGGATCCTGCGACATGCCCCATCATCCCTGGCCAGGAAATGATTATAGAAATAGCCAAAGGACGCTCAGGCCTTGGTCTCAGCATTGTGGGAGGAAGAGACACACCCCTGGTAAGTTTCTAGAAATGACTACTGCCGCTGTCATAGTTGTTGAGCCAAATTGTGGTACCCTGTCTTTTCTACAGAACACTTGGTTTTAACATAGTGTCAAAAAAAACATAAATATATGTGCATCATATTCTAGTCAACCTTCAAGTTTTTCTCAGGTGCTTAATTTTCATCTTGATGGGAAAATATAATTTTTGTTTTAGTGTTAATAAATATTTTTTAGATAAAATAACATTGTTGTTGTTCTTATGTGCTGTTGAGTCACTTTCAACTCATTGTGACCCTGTGTACAAGAACCCTAAACTATGCTCTAGCCTGTGCCAACCTTATTGTCTCTGACACACCTGCCACCATTGCCCCAGTGACTGAATCAATCCATCTCATCAAGGGTCTTCCTTTCCTGTGCTGTCCCTCCAGCCTCCCAAGCATGATAGCTCTCTCCAAGGACTGGTCCCACCTTGCAACATGTCCAAATTATGGCAGATGAAACTTCAGAATCCTTGCCTCCATGGAGCAGCCCAGTCTAACCCTCTCCCGGATGAACTTGTTTGTTCTCCTAACAGTTTATGGTATATTCAATACTCTTCTCCAGCACCACAGCTCAAAGGCATCAATTCTTCTATCATCCCTAGTCAGTCCTGCTTTCTGATGCATAGCAACTAATTGCAAAGACCATGGCATGTATCAGGCATACTTTAGTCTCCAGACTGACATCATTGCTCTTCAGGACTTTGGAGAGGTCCCTGAGAGCAGACCTTCCCAATGCAATTTGTCTTTTAATTTCCTGGTTGCTGGTACCAAGAGTGTTGATTGTAGAGCCAAGCAAACTGAAGTTGTTAACAATCTCAATCTCTTCACCACCTGTTATGATGCTGCCAGTTGGCCGAGTGGTGAGAATCTCTTTGTTTTCTTGATGTTGAGCTTCAATTCATATTTCCCATTTTTTTCAGAGTCAGCCACAGTTTGTTGTGACCTACACAGTTAAATGCCTTTGCATAGTCAACGAAACACATATAGACATTTCTCTGGCACTCTCTGCTTTCGGCCAAGATCCATTTAATATTGGCTATAATATCCCTAGTACCATATGATATTAATTATATTGTTCAATAATTTCATACTCTGCATCACCCCTTTCCTTGAAATGGGAACACATATAGATCACTTCCAGTTAGTTGGCCAGGTGGTTGTCCTCCAGATTTCTTGACACAACTTGGTGAGCACATCCAGGGCAGTAGTATTTATAACAGTAGTCTATATAACAGAATCTAATACAGTGCCTGACAAATACTAAAATGTTCAATAAGTTTCAGCACTAGCAGTCAGGAAATCAAAGGACAAATTGCAATAGGAAAATCTACTGTCAGGATCTCTCCAGGGTTCTGAAGAGCAACAATGTCAATCTAGAGACTAAGGTGCATCTTATCCAGGCCATATCTTCACAAATATTTGTTAATGCATCAGTGAGCTAAATAATGATTAAGGATGACAGAAGAATTGATGCCTTTGAGTTGTGGTGCTGGAAAAGAGTATTGAACATATGATAGACTGCCAAGAGAACTAACAGATCTGTCCTAGAGAGGATGAAACCAAGCTGTTTCTTGGAGGCAAGGATTTTGAGGCTGCTTCACATATTTCAGCCATGTTTCCAGGAGGCCTGTGAAAAGAATATCTTGTTTGAAAGGGTGGAGGGGCAGGACAAGAGAGGATGACCCCAGATGAGATGGATTGACACAGTAACTGGAGTCATGAGGGTAAGTATATCAGAGGCAATGAGATTGGTTTAAGATAGAACAGAGATATTGTGCATAGGGTCACTATGAGTTGTAATTGACTTGATGATATGTAACAACAATGTTATATAGAGTCCTAGTCGTCTAGTGGTAGGAATTGAGCTGCCAACCCAGAGACACATGGTTCATATCCACCACCTTTTCTGAAGGAGATAAATGGACAGTTTCCATGCAATTTACTGCCTCTGAAAACACGCTAGAAGGTCAAGCTATGAATTGGTTCCAACTCGATGGTACTTAACAATTATTATATGCAGTTGTTGTTGTTGATTGCCTTTGAGTCAAACACAAATCATAGCAACCCTGTAAACAAAAGGCCTAAAGTCCCTCTACAACTATTGACATTTATCAAAGTTCATGGAGTTGCAGGGAGTTGGAGTCAGAAAATCAAAAGGGCCAAATTCATACAATGGAAATACTATACAGCACACAGGAGCAATGATTTTGTAAATTTCTACCTACTTTGAGAGGGACTGGAGAGCATTATGCTGAGTGAACTCAGTCCATAATGAAAACTAGTGTATAAAACCATCATTGTAGAATGAGTATGAGGATACAAGGAGGGGAAGGATGGAAGCAGAGGTGTGAGTATGGGTAGGAAGGGGGTGTTAATTATAGGATTGCACAATTCGATGGTGGGGGATGGGAAAAATAAGAAGGATCTTGTATGAAAAACAATGTATTTGAACTTTGTAAAAAAAACCAGTATTTAAAAGAAAGAAAGGGGGGGGGAAACCCCACTAGGAAATTCCAGAATAACATATGCTTCTCTATCCTTGATATCTCTTGGAATAACCTCAGAGCTAAATTTCAACTCGCTGTCAGTTGTCAGTCAGTTATCATCTCTCTCGTGTACTAGGAAGAACAAGTTCCTTCACCTCTCAGAGCCTATTTCGTGACCTAACCATGGAGATAGTAATACTTTTCAGTGCTGCAGGATGGATCAAAGCTATGACCTGAGTATGATATGGACCCTCATACATAGCACATGGTATACAGCTGCACACGACGGGTACTTTTTTTAAGCCTTGATTTCCACCAGGGCAATATAGGCTTTAATACTGCCTCACTGGACTGCAGTGAGAATTAGAAGTTTTCTAAACACCAGCAGAAAATCAAAAAGCATATCGCGATGGGAAAGTCTGCTGTTAGGGACCTCTCTAAAGTACTCAGGAGCAACTGTGTCTCTGGAGACTAAGGTGCGCCTGATACAGGCCATGGTATTTGCAATCGCTTGTTATGCATCAGAGAGTTGGACAATGACTCAGAAGGAGAGTGGATGCTTTTGAGCTGTGGTGCTGGAGAAGGGTACTGAATGTACCATGGACTGCCAGGAAAACAAACAGATTTATCTTGGAGAGGATTAAACCAAGCTACTCCTTGGAGGCAAGGATTCTGGGGCTTCGTCTGACATACTTTGGACATGTTGCCAGGAGGGACGGGTCCTTGGAGAGGGACATCATGCTTGGGAGGGTGGAGGGACAGCACAGGAGGGGAAGACCCTCTATGAGATGGATTGATTCGGTGACTGGGGTAATCGGGATGGGTGTGTCAGAGGCGGTGCGGTTGGCGCAGGATAGAGCAGGATTTAGGGCTGTTGTGCATAGGGTCGCTATGAGTCGGAAACGACTCGACGGCACATAACAACAACTACAACAGCAGCAGAAAATGATATCGAAGAGTTTTTTAATTTCTCTTTTAGCCTTTTTGTTGTTGATAGGAGCGTGACTGGTGTGGATTGATTAGAATACCTGATCAAGATGTGCCCTCACTGCCCCAATCTCCATTCATCCATTTGCTTGTGCTGCCTCTCAGCTCGAGGGCCTCCACTGTGCTCCTTGCCCCTGCACTAGATGTACCCTTCCAGTCTTTGGCTTTGTGTTCTGTCTGCTGCCCCTGCTGTAAGTTGCAGCTAAAACCCCCCACAAAACACCTTTAAGAGCATCTTGAGGTTCATAATATATAGTTCTGCCTTTGGAGACCGTAAATGCCACTGTCCTTGGATGGATAAGCACCACTTAAAAATGATAGATGGGACACAGCTTTTATTTTCTAACCTCAGGTACTGCATCAAAAGCCATCAGTAAGGCTTACCAATAATCTATTGCCAGTCTTTGGAATGAGAATGAACAGCAGGAGGCAGGAAGCTTTCTGACAAATAAAGCCATTGTTTTCCTGAATGAAGAACTTTAGTTTGTTTTGTCTCCACCACCCTTGCCCAAATTTTGGTAGAATATGCAGCCTAACTGGCTCTTTAGGCCACATTACCCAGCCGGAAGTGAGCAAACACTGTTGCAAACTTATTAGATGAAATTGTGGAAAATAGCAGGAGCCACGACTGAAAGGCTTGAGCTCCAGTAGAGGGAACATGCATTCTGAGCCCTGGTGACGGTCCCTAAACATCTGCTCGAGATCTCCCAATTAGAGCTTCTCTGTCCGCTTTGTTGTGTGTCCAACAGATGATTTTGCTGTCTTTAGAGGAATTAAGCCTCCGAGACCTGATCTTGACACCACATCAGTCCTCTCTACTATAAATAGTTTCTTTGGAGCCAAGACAGATGGTTTCTGAGATCACAGAGGGAAATCTCACTTAGCATCCCATTGCATTTACAGCAGGTCCTCGAAACCAACCTTTTAAAATACCAATATAATGATGAGTATGAGCCTCTTGGGAAGGTTTATAAGCACACCTGGACCTGCTCCTAAAGGCCATACTTCTACATCTGTTGTTTTAATCTTATGATGTCCTCCCAGGTCTGGTCTGCCTTTGGTGTGTGTGATTCTTCTGTGATAGGTTGCATATGTTTGCTCAAAGACTGTGTTTTCCTTTAGTGCTGAGGATACAAAATCCAGTATGATAACCAAAGCTCAAAAAACTTAGATGTTTCTGCTAGGCCATTGTACCCTGTATGTGCCCATTGTACCCAGTCTGCTAGGCCATTGTACCCTGTATGTGCCATTGTACCCAGTCTGTTTCAGGAAACTTACAAGATGGCTCTCTGGCCAACTGACTAAAAAGAAATCTATATTTGTTCCCATTATTATAATTCCCAAGAAAGGTAACCCAACAGAATGTGGAAATTATTGAACAATATCATTAATATCATATGCAAGCAATATATTATTGAAGATCATCCCAAAATGTCTAATAACAGAACATTGACAAAGAACTGTGAGAAGTTCAAGTTGGTTTTACTATAGGCTGTGGTA